TTGTCAGTGCCCGCGGCTGTCATGATGCCCAAACGGTGACAGCACCTGGTAATTTTTCATCCGGCCCCATTCTAGAAAAGTCAATTGGAAAATCAACTTTTGTTGAGTCAGGTAGTGTTGGAAGGGCCACCCATGGATAGACTTTGGCTCGATTATTGCTGGTAATGGCTGAAATGTGATCAGTGTATGGCCAGATTTACACCCCAGTGCTGGTTAGTGTTTGAGCTGTGACCTCTGCTGGCTGCGATGGGGAAGATGGGTGCAGGATACTATATAATAAAGCTCCTGGAGAAACAGTCTTATCCTGGATATGAGTAAAAGAGCTCCTTTTCCATCACCGCTGTGCTAAGAATATAACTAACCCTGTGTTACATAGCTCTTGATTTTGTAAGGCAGGAGAGATTTTGGAGCCCAATAAAGCAGCAAAATTGATACACTGACCTCACTAATGACTCTATTCAGTACTATAGAGTAAACGAAGAACATATAAAGGCTGAAATAGTCTGCTGTTTAAGTGAAGCCAGATCCCAGAAGCTCATGCCGGCTGACATATAGTTTCTAGGATATCAGCACTTAAAGCACAAGCCAGAGACTCCAGACGGACAGTCTGGGGACACTGTGCATGTAAATACTTCATTACTTCAAATATGATGACATCACCGTAAGTTGGCTGCAGTTAGTTACAAAGCCAGAAGCTACGTTAACATAGGTACACTATTGATAGAGCTAATTTTCGTACTTTAAATAAAGACGCATGCAGGTCCTCTTGTCATCTATATCCATTAAGTGATGCATCTTAAAACGGGTCATCAAACTGTAATGATGTAGTTAAGACTGGTTTTTACTTTATGCAACATAAGCAGAAATTCTTCTCTACGCCAAAGCTGCACTACATTCAGTATACACATTTTCCTAACTAAATCCAAGAAAGTGTGAATCTTGGGCGAAAACATTTATAAATGGGCTCAGCTCTGCAGTACTAGGAAGTATGGCACAGACCCATGAACAGCTTGCTGTAACTATGTTCCAAAAACTCAGCTGTTCCATACTATGCACTATTTATTGTCTGGCCTTAGTCACCAGTGCCAGACATGATGGATTGGCTGTATATTGTAAAAGAGTGACTCTTTTCTTGTGACTTCAGATGAAAAAAAAGGTTGATGAATGTATCATTTTGAACACACAAATCAGCCATGCACAGCAGTGAGAGTGCAGAGTGATCACTTCAAGTTTTTCTTTTTCTCCCCTCTGCCTGCTTTTTAATAACTTTACTGCAAGCAAAACAAGGTTGGTGCTTATGGAGTGGCTGCCAGCATTACGTCAGCGTACCAATTCCCCGCAGAGTGCCAGGGAGAGCAACCTGCATGAAAGCCGCCTTTGTTCCAGGGAGGTGTGCTAGCTTTACATGAGGCTGCTCTCTGGACGTCTGTTTGTGAAACAATTTATTGGAACATGGTATGTGTGTGTAAGACGCTCCCAGAGACTGAATATATTCAGAACTTTAACACCTTCCTCTCAGAAAAGGTTGCAAGACAATTAGTGATCATATGCTTAATATTAAGAATTTAAAAAAACTAAGGCATTTTAAAGAGAAAGCAAAACAGCACACGAGTGTATATATATATATATAATTGTATAACTCCAGGAATATGTAGTCAATCAGGAGTTGGCTTTCCCTTATCTGCACTAGAAAAAAATGAAACGTAATTGGCAATTTTTAATAGTTTTTTTTTCTTCTTTTTTATATAAATTGACTGACTATGCAGCTTTGAGAAAAAAAAAGTTTGATATTCATAGCAATCTGGTTTCTGATTGCTTGAGTCTTGAAACTGCTCATCATTGTTTTTGCCATATTTCACATAAACTACCAAATTATCCACGATGATGTAGATTATTACATAGAAAGAGAAGGGTCAGCGTTTTTGTGTTTTTTAAGTGCAATAAAAATTGTAAAAGGGTACATGAACATTGAGTTACTCTTGGAACACAGCCATTGTAGGTGGGGCAACCTGATTAAACTTTACCTGCTGGCTGTGTACCTGGAGGAATAAAATAGCTGTCCAAAAGAATTAAGCACGTTATAAGTTGTGCTACGATGTAATGAACAATGGTATCAGTCCAGGAAAGCCTGGTTATCAGATGAAATTGGCAAGAGGCTGTAGGAGACTTTGCAAAGCTTGGCATCTTATCAAAATAGCACTTTCCTGTCCACAAGTTTTTATTTATTAGTCTGAGTCCTGACTGCAAATGCAATGTAAGTTCACCCTTGCTGTAGTTCTTCAGAAAATCGAGCAGACTCTTTGAGATTTTATTGTATGGAATTTACCCTTTCTGTTACTATTCCAGGGGCAAAATAGATTCTAGAAGCACAGGGGTTAAATAGAACATTCTTGCTTACAGGTGACCCACAAATGTTGGCATCCAGAAATAGCTAGGGATGACGACAGGAATCCATGCTCCCTTCGTTTTTTTTGTGGCCTGTATAAACTAGCATGTCTTCTATTGTCCTCCTCCTGGCGGTATCTTTTGAAGCTTGAGGTTTTTTCCCTCCTCCCTCCCCATTACTTACAAATACACGTCTCCCTCCTTTCTAGCTTGGCACTGACTTTGCTGCAGAGGCCCGTGCCAGGAGCTTACCGGGTTTACAGACTCAAGTTATTTCCCTCCCCC